CCTGAGCTCTCTGTCTCTCTGTCTCTGTCTGTCTCTCTGTCTCTATCTCTATCTGTCTCTCTCTGTCTCTGTCTCTCTCTGTCTCTGTCTCTCTCTGTCTCTGTCTCTCTCCGTCTCTGTCTCTCTGTCTCTGTCTCTCTCTGTCTCTCTGTCTCTGTCTCTCTGTCTCTCTCTGTCTCTGTCTCTCTGTCTCTGTCTCTGTCTCTGTCTCTCTCTGTCTCTGTCTCTCTCTGTCTCTGTCTCTCTCTGTCTCTGTCTGTCTCTCCCTCTGCCCCTCATAAAGTGTTTCCTTTACACCGGATCGCGGCCCCAAATCTCTACCATCCCTTGAAAGCCCTTCAGCTGCTGTGATACAGATCACCGCCTCTTTGACATTAAACTGTTGCTTTAGCGAGCTTGTCTTCAAAACAAAGGGCCGAGAGGGCGCCGTCTCGCCCGGTGCGGGTCCTTCACACTGAGTTTCCTCCGCGTAGCTTTGATTACTTTTCTTTGCCGGGCGTGATGGTGTATGTACCTGTAACCTCAGTGCCTCGGGGCTGAGGCAAGCTCAGGACCAGCCTCGGCCGCCTGGTGAGTTCAGGCCGGTGTGAAGCACGCAGCGAGGTCCCCAAAACACGAACGAGGAAAAGAGGCTGCTCCAGCCGCACGCTGTCTGGTTAGTACATCTTTGCAGGACATACTGTGCGTCTGTGTCGTGCACGACACTGTACCTGCACGTGACGGTTGTTTAGCTGGCCCTCCCCATCCCTCGGTCCTCTCCCCTTTAAGGAAACACCCACGTCCCCCTCCTGCATCTGTCTTTGGGGAGACGATGCAATCATTAAGCTCGCGAGCCGGATGCACGTCCCTGCACAGTGCGGCCTCAAGCACCTCCAGGCCTGCGTTTGTCCCTCTGACGGCCAACTAGTGCTCGGGTCTGCTTCAGCCCGTCCTCTGTTCACGAACAACAGCTGCTTCCAAAGAGATGCTTTTTGCAAGAGAAAGAGAGAAACATAAACCAAAAACGGGCAAGTGCTGGCAGCGGGAGGCCTTGAAGAAGTACTAAGCACGGTTCTCCTGGTGAGAGGTAGCACCCTGCATCCCGGTCCAGCACTCACTGCCGTCTCGGCAGGTTGTGGCTGGGGCTGCTGGCTTTTGTACTCAGGGAAGGCTGCCTGAGCAGCTCCGCAGAGCGGGGAGCCCCGCTGCCCCAGGCCCTGTGCTTCACGTCGGCAGCTGTGAGCACACATTCCCAGGAAAACACCTCCTCGCCAGCTGTGGCCCCCCAGAACCCGCTTGCATTTTTCTGGCGGCTGAATCTTAAACTAGCAACACGGTCACTTTGAACCTTAACTTCTTCACATGATAATTATAATTATACTTAAATATCTGGATCATAAGTGTCTGTGAGCTTTTCATGACACAGGACTTACAAAGCACTTAAAAAGGTTCTGGGGGAAAAAGGCTATTTTTTCTTTAAAGGCAGGGGATTTAGCTCAGTGGTTGTAAGTGCCTACCTGGCAAGCCAAGGTCGTGAGTTTGATCCCTGGTACCAAAAAAAGTTATAAAAAATAAGGTTCTTGGCCCGTAATGAGGTTCTATAAATTATTTTTGATCATTTGCTTAATCATTTTTAATTAAATTTATTGGTACAATGTGGTTATATATAATGATCCTATTCATCACAGGGAATTTGTTCCTTTATATGACGTACATTGATTCCTTTTTTCCAGCCCCTTCCCTTCCTTCCCCTCTTATGTACAAAGCTTTGTTTCCATTTTATCTTTTATTTTTTTTTTATTTTCCTTTCCTTTCTCCCCCTCCCTGATCCCCCATTTTTGAAAAATGTCTTCTTACTTCACAATACCTATTATACACTTGGACCCTTGTTTTTTGGTTTGGGCGCCAAAAAACAATGCTATATTTACACATTTATTTCACTTAAAGTACAGTCTCAGGCTGAATCCATTTACCTAGAAATGCCTCGTGTGTCCTTTTTCTTGACTGAGTAGTACTCCGTTGTATTAAAGAAACATCTTGTCTCCCCCATTCCTCGGCTGATGGGCATTTGGGTTGTTTTCGACGTTTAGCTGTTACAAACTGTACTTGTGCATATATTGCTGCGTATGATGTCTTTAATTCTTCTGGGAAGATACTCAGAAGGAGCATAGCGGGGTCACATGGGAGCTCCTTGAGGAATCTCCATACTGATTTCCATGGTGGTCACCAGTCTGCACGCCCGCAAACAGCGGAGAAGGCTCCTTTCCCCAAGGCCGCTCCAGCATGCATTATCGGTTAGTTTCTTGATGAACAGCCATTGTTTCTGCTATGAGTTGGAAGCTCAGTGTTGTATTAATTTGCATTTCTTGAATGATCGGTGACATTGGACATTGTCATCTGTATTTCTTCCTCTGAAGTGCCCGTTCATCTCAGATGCCCCCTGTTAGCTGACTGGGTCTTTAAATCTGGGGGAGGGTCTGATTTTTTGTGTTCCAGCTATTGGTCCTTTGTCTGATGGATAGTTGACTGAAATATGTTGTCTTTTATCTCCATTGGTGATTTCCTAGGCTGTGAAAAAGGCTTTTCATAGGCTGGGGACTGAGGATACAGCTCAGCAGCACAGCCCTGCCCGGCAAGCACAAGGACCTGAGCTTGAGTTCCAGTACCAAAAAAAAGGGGGTGAATCCCAGTTGGGTTTTTAAATTTTATTTAAAGGAGAGAAAAGAATACAAACAATGATACAAGATTTCAAAACAAGCTAAAAGGAGAGTAACGATGGCATCTTCAAAGTGGTTGCTCACATGACAAGACCCAGGCATCTTTGCTGGGCGTGGTGGTGCACTCCGGCCATCCCAGCGCTCGGGAGGCTGAGGCGGGAGGATCGCTGTGAGTTCGAGACCAGCCTGGGCTACAGAGTGAGCTCAAGGCAGCCTGGACTGCACAGCGAGACCCGGCCTCAGAAAGACAAAAAGAAAACAAAGATCTAGGCATTCTGAGCAAACACTATGAACACAAACCTTCCTTTTCAGTGAACTAATAGAAATTAGTAGCATAGTTTCTCTTTCCTTTTGAACAATTTCACCCCATTTCATGATGTCTATTGTACATTTTGGATCTTATTTATTCTTTCCGTTTTTTACACTAGGAAAATAATATAATATTTACACACACGAGCCTGATTTATTTCACTTATAAGTATAGTCTCAATTTGCATCCATTTACCTGTAAAAGTCTCAAGGTTTTCCTTGTTTATAGCTGCACAGTACTCCACCGTGTAATGATGCCCTTTTTTCGTCATTTCTCAGTCGACAGGCATTTGAGTTGTTTCCAAGATCTAAATATAAAAACTACGCTGCTATCAACACGGGTTCAGGCGTATCACTGTGGTGTGACGTTTTTAATTCTTCTTGGGAGATACCCCGAAGGGGACCAGCTGGGTTGGATGGGATCTGTAATCCCAGTTCTTTGAGAGGTCTCCACCCTGGTTCCTGCAGTGGCTGTGCCAGTCTACACGCCCACCACAACAGAGGAGGCTCCTTTTTAATCACGGCTCTCCAAGCGTTTGCTGTTGGCTGATTTCTTCACAATAACTATTCTCTCCAGGGTGAGATGGAATCTCAGTGTTGTTTTAATTTGTATTCCTCAAATGACTAGTGACGCTGAACACTTTTTCACATATTCATTTGCCGTTTGTATTCTTCATCTGAGAAATGTGTATGTATCTCGGATGCCTATTTATGAATCGGGTCTTTCAACTTAGGGGGTCTGATACTTTTCGGTTCTTTATATGTTCTAGATGGAAGTCCCTTGTCTGAGGGGCAGCTGGCTAAATTGGTTTCCCACGATGTAGGTTGTCTTTTCATTTTGTTGGTGATTTCCTTTACTGTGCAAAAGCTTTTTAGTCAGATGAGACCCAGCTGTTGATCCTTTGAAGTTCCTCCACGCAGGGAAGTGGATTTTGCTGCTGAGGTCTCTGCCTCCTCCTGCGTCTTCAAGATTTCTTGCTATTTTCTCTCCCAGTAAATTTAGTGTTTCATCTTTATATTTAGATCTTTGATCCATTTTGGCTTCAGTTTAGTGCGGGGTGACAGACACGGGTCTGGATTTAGTCCTCCATGTGAGAATCCAGTTTTCCCAGCAGCCTTCATAAAGAGGCGATCTTTCCTCTAGTGAACGTGTTTGGCCACTTAGTGCCGGTGACGTGGCCGCGTGTGTTTGGAGCTGTGTCTGCGTGTCCCACGCTGTCCCGCGGAGCCTCTGGGTTTCTTCTTTGCCATGCTGGTTTCATCACGGTGGCTTTGGCCCA